TAAGGCACTTGTTACTAGAAGCGATGCACTTGTTCCTAGTAGCTGCTATTTTCAAATAGTTGTTATTTAAACTGTTGCCTTTGACATGCCACTTGTATCCTGGCCGCCTGGCCTCGCGGCGAAGGCGGTCCTGTACTTGAGAGCTATTCACCTGGGACGCCAACTAGCAGCATGGCTTCAGCAGAAAAGTACATAGCATATTAGCATCGGGATCCATACAGCAGCAAGCTTACGCAATGCTTACATCACACGGCTCTCCTCCTTCCCACAATCAACCCACTCCGAAGCACTAGTGTGACTATATGGTCCTGGACTTTGCAACACTCGACCTGGTGTAGATTCACAGATCAATATCAGTTGCTGAAACGTTGAACAAAAGGTATGCTGAGAAAGCAATACTTGTATATTCGGTGTCACACTCCAGTTTGTGAAACAATATTATGGCCAAAGAATGAAACGGGAAGTGCTTTGGGATGGCGCTTTGTCTGGCCTGTCTTCTTGACCGTTGTCTTTCAAGCAGGGAGGCACCTGACAAGCAACGTTGCAGGCCCGAGGCTAGAGACCGACAAATGCAGAGGCCATAAGCGTCTTTTTCTCTTATTGCTTCTCCTATTTGGCCCGCTCCTACTTATATAATTAAGTAGGCGCCCCTACAAAATTATGTAAGGTCGACTAGTTCGCTACTAGGAATTTGTTCGCTCCTAGTTGGGACGCAGGATAGCTCACGCTCACGCTAGGAAACTTAACTTGACGTGTCCACTCTGCTGATTACTACAACTTCTTTTACAGAAAAAAGAGAGGAACCTCCCTAGCGAGTGCTAGGCAAAGTACCTTCTGTCATGTTGTCGAAGAGGTGTTAAAGCAACGCAAGAACAATAGTATGCTTCTGTGTGTTGATGAAATGTCGGAAGCCAGGATTTGAAAAAGGGCCGGTGCCCCTAAATACTTGTGGCCCAGAGGGGGGTGGCGAAAGCTAGGCAAATAAACAACGCTGGGGCTCTTTAGGCAGCAAAAGCCAGGCCGTGAATCTCAACATGCCATGGCCAAGGGAAAAGGAGAGTGCCAACAGCGCCCCCCCAATACGACCCCAACACAGCCACACAACCACCCCAGCAACCGCCGCAGCAGCAGCAACAGCCACAACAACAATAACTGTAACCAGCAGCGGCAGCGGCAGCAAGCTGAAGCTACCAAGCAGCAGCAGAAGCAGCAGCAGGAGTAGCTAGCAAGCAGCAGCACCAGCTACCAAGCAGAAGCAGCAGCAGGAGCAGCTACCAAGCAGCAGCAGCAGCAGCAGCTACCAAGCAGCAGCAGCAGCAGCAGCAGCAGCTACCAGGCAGCAGCAGCAACAGCTACCAAGCAACAGCAGCAGCAGCAGCTACC